TTTCTATGTACATACTATAGCAGCTAAGTAAATATAATTATAAAAATATAATTTTAATAATGATGAAAAAAATGTTTCTAAGAAATATGAAAAAAATATTTCTGCATTATCTTGAAAGTGTTTTCATCTTCTGTATAAATGGCTGCAATAGCGCTAAAGTAAAATGTACATAACTCTTATTATAATTTTTTTTGTTAGAAATAATTAAATTCACTTTTTCAATTATAATTATCGGCTGAAATCTGGTTAGCCAGTTACTCGGTAGCAATAAATGTTGGATTATCTAATATCCGGTTATCCGACAAATTCATCATTCGACACACCCATCCTAATTACTGTTACAGGTAGATTAAGTAAAGTATAAGTTTTCCCTGTAAGAATACCTATATTCATACACGTACAGAGAGACATTAAACACAGAAAGCTTTAACACTTCAATTCAGAATTAACGATAAGAAAAATAAATCATTATTTTTCTACTCAAAGTTTAATGTATCTAATTTAATTTAAAAAATACTTCACATGAATCGAATTAATTAACACTACAAAACATTTATAAAACTCATGATCACATTTAGGATATTCACCTATTTTACACTGAGTTCTATGATAAAAAGAAATTGTCGCGATACAGATATGTTTTGAATCGAGCATTAAAAATTAATATTTAACAATCAGGTGTACGTATACATATAGTTATACTTTTGTAATATCGCGTGACACCGTACCCTTTCTCGCTCCCTTTATCGCGTGCAACCTAGCATTTTTCAATGACTCATGACTTACGTCGATTTAATTACGTCAATGTTTGACGAGCAATTTTGCTAACGTTCTAAGTGTGAAACAACGTACATTTAATTAGTCATAATTCTACGACTTTATTAGAAAGTTATTAGAAAAATATTTAATTCTTAATTAACATAGTTGGTAAAAGTGATAATTTTTTTATGATTTTATTAGAGAAATATTTAATTCTAAATTCTTAATTGATAAAGTTTGACAAAGTTGGATAATAAATAATCTTTTACATTATTTCTTTCTTTTCTAAACTTTTTTCTAAATCTTTCTTTTTCTATTTCTTTTTCAAATAATTCTTTAAGACAGAGGAATAACTTTACATTAAGATATGTTCTGAATCTATTGTTAATGTCATTTATTATTAAATAATTAAGTAATTGTAGATTTTCTTTCATAATTGTACAAAGGGAGTATGTGTGCAAATATAAGGCCTATCTCAAAATTAATCGCAAGTTAGTGTGACTTTTAGCTGAATAATAAAAAAATGTTAATTGCCTTATTGTTTTCCGTTGCTTGAAAAATGTTATAAAATTAAATATAACAGATGATATAGATGATATAGATTTGCAAAAAAGTTAAATATAAATTATTAAAGATATTTAATTTAAATGTTATTTATACATATATTATTTTCTTAATTGTTAATTTAGTGTATGATTAATTACCAGATTAATTACCGTGGACAATATCATAAATTTCATACATAATGTTTGTTAATATTACTCAGAGACTAATCTATCACACAGCATATGCTTATGATGAAATAAATATCCGATTATTTATCGGTTATAGTGTAATATTGAATGACAAATTCTTGACGAACAATTAGTCCATAGATTCAAATGTTAATTCTGTTGTAGTGTCTGGCTATATTCTATATAAGATATCCTGTTATTATATTTTTTACAAATATCAACAAACCTATTCGATATAAAGATAATCTAAAATTTTTAATTGCTGCTAGCTGGTATAAGGATTATTATTAATTCAAGCTGTCCTCGTGAAGCTTGTTCATAGTATTCATTCTTTTATTTTTTGAGAGCATATGACATGTCAAGGAGAATAATATGTATGTATTATGTCTCTCTCGCGTTTTCCTTTATGAAGCGACAAAGCTTCAGAATAATTGGTAAGTAGGCTAATCCGTAGCTTGATATTTTACTTACAAAAAAAAAACAGTCGTCAAAAAAAAACAAAATGAAAAGAAAGATGAGAGAAATAAAAGCAACTATCTCATTATCGAAAAGCAAAGGGAATACGATCTCTTTTAACAATAATATGTGCCAACAAGATGATAGATATGAGGCAGAAAAAGGATATCTAGCAAAGTTAATATCAGCGGAAGTGAAGCCGCCATTATTCCATCGAGATGAAAACAATGCAAATGTCAATAGATCTCACAGATCAATATGTAATTAGCAAATATTATTAACAAATAAAGTAAAAATAACATGAGTTAAAAATAAAAATATGAAAAGATCGTGTTGAAACGAAGAAATTTTCCGTGGCAATATGCAACATTAATTGTTTTTCAATTATTAATTTTGTATTTTTCTTCCACTTTTGGAAGCGTTTGCAAACGCGCCTATAAAATTAATTAACTAATCAAGATGCAAATAAAAATATGATGTACAGATATTGTTCTTGAAATATTAAGCATTTCAGATTCTAATATAAATTTCTAATATAAATTTCTAAAAACTGACATATATTATTCTTAAATGAAACCACCATGATTAAACCAGTTGATTAAATCGAGTTCGAAAGAGTATTTAGAGATAAAAAGAAATAAAAAGAGTATCGTCGGTCCTATGTATCGACTATTAAAATTTTGACAACGGTTATATCTATATAAGACAATTATTCTATTTGACACTATGCGATTACAATCTACTTCTAAAAACAAAGCACATAAAGCGCAATTTAATGATGCCAACAGGAAATAATTTGATATTTTCATATTAAAATACAATATTCAAGTATTAATCTTTTTTTAAATCTCTTGCACATCAGATCTATTAACTACGAATTTTAAAATATAGCCAAAAACACGTTTTCGAATAGTTTCATTTTTCTTAAAAATTTAACGATCTAATTTAATGATAGAACATTTCTACTTGCAGATCCGGATTCAGTGCATAAAAACTATAGAAAATTATTTTTCTTTCGTAAAAAAGAAGATGTCAAAAGAGGATATTAAGTTTTGGCCATTTTTACTTAAGACTGATGTTTAAGTTAACCATTGGAACATATTTGTGAAATCTTCTAGATACAGAAAACAACAATACATACAAACACACACACACACACACACACACACACACACACACACACACACACACACACAGAGAGAGAGAGAGAGAGAGAGAGAGAGAGAGAGAGAGAGAGAGAGAGAGAGA